TAAACGGTGGGCCCTGATTGGTTGTTAACGGTGGGTTATGATTGGTTGCTTTTGGACCAATCATGAGGTGCCGGATATGCAAATTTGAGGGATCCTAGTGGCCAATCAGAGCAAGGTTTCGAAGGTCAGGTTTTTGGAAGGGAACCAATCATGGTAATTGTTTGCTCTCTGAGAAACCTCAGCAGACTCGCTGGTGCGCAGCTTCCCACAATTTTTAATTTTATAAAGGCCCGGAATTAGTTCTGTAACAAGTTAGGCATTAATTATACAGTCAAGTAGATAAATTTCTCTTTACTTATCTTGGCAGAACAGCCCAAGTAGGACATTCCAATTTGCATGTCCTATTGCGAAGAGGAGTGAAAGAGCTCAGGGGCATGGGTGGTAGTGGAGACTACGACCTGCGTTAACTGCAGAGCACGTGTCTTAATCTGGGAATACTGTCTTGATAGGTTAAATTAAACTACTGAAAAGAGGTTCTAATGTGGTAGTCTAACAATTTTGGACTTATTAGTTTGGTATTAGTATAATAAAATGCCATGAAAGCCTTTTATTATACTAATAAAAGTTAATTACATGGTTGCATCACTGGACTCCCATGTAGTCGACTGCGGTTCGAGTCCCGGACCTGGTATCTGGAAACTCTCGCCAAGTGCATGTGTGTTCCATGTCCAAGAGCCTGAGAGGAGAGTGGAGGAGAAGGGATTGAGGCATGGCCATCGCCCCTGGGGGGTTATTTCTCTTTCTGTCTCTCTGTCTCTGTCTCTGGTGAGCACACAAGTCCTATAGCAAAAAACTCTCCTAAAAAAAAATACAAAGAAAGAGCCAAGAAGGGAAGTTGAAGGTGTGTGTGTGTTTGTGTGGATCAGCATATGATTAAGCCAATAAAATTGGGGCTTTAGGAAGATCACACTATCTCCATAATAGAGAATGGATTATAGAGAAGAGAAAATAGTGGCAGGAATGATGTGGTTCCACATGGAATTTGGTATCTACATGTTTTAATGACTGATTAAATGCAGGATGTAAGGGGTAGAAACTAAAGGTAATTTGGGAGGTTTTCAGGTTTGGGGAGGAGGTGGATATACATATCATAAATTGAGAACTTAACTGAAAAAAAAAGCAGAGGGGATAAAGTTAGTATTTTCAATTTTGTAAACATTCAGTTTGTTGTGCCCTGGAATATCAAAATGGAAATATTCAGTAGAAATTTGTAATAGGGGACCAGCAGTTAGCGTAATGGCTATGTTGCTGGATTCCCACATAGTCAACCACGGTTTGCATCCTGGACCCGGTGGCTTAAACTCACACTGGGTGCGTGTGCGTGCATGCCTAAGATCCCAAGAGGAGAATGGAAGAGAAGGGATTGCGGCGTGGCCATCCCCCTCGGGGGGGGGGGGATTTCTCGCTTTCTGTCTCTCTGTCTCTCTCTGGCTGGCTGGCAAGCACACGTGCCCTATAGCAAAAACCTCTCCAAAAAAAAAAAAAAAAAGAAATTTGTAATAGAAGAGATAAAAATGCAGGAGTCCTCATCATGTAGATAGCATCAAAACTCAGATATGACAATTCGGAAAAACCTTCGCAGACACTCACAAAACAATATTTTACCAGATATCTGGGCACCTTGTACTCCAGTAAATCTGATACTGCAGTCTGACACACAAATTAACTATCATGCTATCAGCTCAACCTACAGGTTAAGATACTTCTCAACAAGATTTCAATGGCCCTTTTTTACAGAACAGAACAAAAAACATCTGAAATTTACATGCGATCACAAAAAAATCACAACTCTCCAAAACAATTCATTCTGGCTCCAGAGTAGAATGGAGGAGAAGAGATTGTGGCATGGCCATCCCTCTTGGGGGTAATTTCTCACTTTCCCTCTCACTTGATCTATCTCTGCAGAGCACACACTCCCTAAGGCAAAAACCTCAACATAAAATAACAAATAAATAAATGAGTGAAAAATTAGTATTGGTCTAAAGATTTAATTCAATGGTTTTTCTGACATAGAATTTCTCTGTGGAAATGGCAAACCAGCGTGTGACTCTGAAATGTTGTCAAGAAATAAGACGATTATCCTGACTTCTCTAAAAAGATAATCCCTGTGAGTACAAGCTACACGATTTCATTGCTTATATTAAGCACTGGTAGTAAGTTCGCTTATTTATTTGACTTGTTTTTAGGACAAATATGACCACGGATTTTTCTCCTTCCTTCTCTCTAAAGTACAACGGCACAAAAAGAGGAACCTGCCCGCAGTGTGCGGCCATCATGTTGCTGCAGAACAAGCAATCCAGCCGGCTGTGCATTCTAATATCGTGGCTGTAACATTAACTTATGAATGCGAAGGGAGAATTGGCAGTTCAGTCATCTTCTCGCTGAGCTTCTGGTATCTACCAGCTAAATTCCAAAATAAATTATACTTTCGTTGGATACGGAGCTGCTTCTCTTTATATCAATGATAGTGAGCTGTAATAGAAAGCTGCAAGCATTACTGTCCAGCAAATGCCAAAGGGGTTGAATCAAAGACGAGGGTGTTTCCCCTGCAGACACTAAGTGATACATCCATCTGCTTTAAGTCATTGCTGCCATGTGGACTTTCCATCCATCTCCTGGGCTATGTGCCATTCCAGAAATGCATCTTCTCCTTTGTCCTGATCCCACAAACCCAGCTAACATATCCTCATAAGCTAACGATCTAATAGATGGAGCCCTAAAGTCAGCCCCTGACTCTAAATCTGGTAGGTGCTACAGAGTACATAAAATCTAAGATGCCCAAGCAAGCGATTACTACCAACACGCAGAAGTCCTAGTCACAAAACTCTGATTTATTTTGTTGGTTTTTGCATGAGAGATGGAAATCAAGTGTTGTTTGAGAAGAAACACATATGTGGGGACCAGCAGTTGGTGTAATGGCTATGTTGCCGAACTCCCATGTAGTCGACCATGGTTCGAGTCCCGGACCCAGTGGCTTAAACTCACACGGGGCGCATGCATGCCTAAGATCCTGAGAGGAGAATGGAGGAGAAGGGATTATGGCATGGCCATCCCCCTGGGGGGTGATTTCTTGCTTTCTGTCTCTTTGTCTCTCTCTGTCTTTCTGGTGAGCGTATATGCCCTATAGCCAAAACGTGAGCTAAAAGGCCCTATAGCCAAAACCCCCAAAAAAAAAAAAAAAAAAAAAAAAAAGAAATACATATGTGAACATACTCATTGTAAAACTGGAAAAAGAAAAACCATTTTCACCTTAACTTTGTGCACTAAAGGAGAAACCCAAGCGACCCAAGACCCAAGAAAACAGTGAAATCCAGCCTGATGGTGGTTTGCTTTGTGTCTTGCAGTATGTTGGGAAGATACCAGTGTGATTTATAAACCACAGTTTTGGAGACTACTAAAAGTCCCTCAAATTTTTATTGAAGGGTTTATATAAACTTGGACATTTCATTGAATAATTCTCTTCTTTCTTCTTTTTCATTAATGGCCAGGGGAGCATGTGTATTCACCAGAGAAAGAGAGAAAGAGGAAGAAATTATCCACTAAGGGGTTGCGACCGCTCTAATATTCCTTTTTCTCTGTTTCTCTATCCTATCAGTATCTGGGGCATGCACATGTGCCCAGTGTGTCTTCAAGCTGCCAGGGTCAGGGTTCAGACTGCAGTCAGCCCTGTGAGACCCAGCTCCCTTATCCTCTAGGCTTTGGGGCAGGCCTAAATATTTCAAAGAACACAAATGTGTAAACAAAAAGAAAATGAAATCTCAACGTTCTAGCTGAATTATGCAATGTTACAAGAGCATGATCACATTCACAAGAGAACTATTTATGACCTAACACTTGCGGTCATGTTCATATACAATTTGTACCCGCTCAAAAAAATAGCACTGAAGTTCTATATTTTTGACATAGATGAAAAAATAAACACAGAAGCACAGGACTCTAGAGACTGGAGTTGAAAATGATGCTTTCCCATTTGTGCTGAAACCTGTTTTACATTCTTGTTAGAGGACCGAAGCATCGGCTTTGGGGTTAGTGTCAGAAGCAATTGACTCTAGTTTTCCTGTAAAGGTCAGATTACAACTCTCTTTCACTTCTTTACTCTTGCTTAGAATTATACCAACTAGAAAATTCCTGCAAGGTACAGCGAAATAAAATGTGAACTTGCTTATCTTTTAACTATTTAAAGGGATGTGTTGTTTATATAATTTTTAAGAGAATGATGAACTTCCCTTTGAGAAGGAAACTTTGGTATTTCCTTCTTTAGGACAAAAAGCTGAACACCTTGGATCACATAGTGTATCTTGTTTCCTCGGTTACAGACATTTTTTAAAAATAATTATTTATGTAATTTTATTTCTTTTTTATTATTATTTCATTTTCTTTAGGGCACACTTACTCACCAGAGAGAGACAGCAAGAGAGAAAAAGGGAAAGTGAGAAACAAGCCACCAGGTCCAGGACTTGAACGGCAGCCAGACATGTAGGAGTCCAGCGCACCAACCACCATACCACCTGTCGGCCACCCACTAACACTTTTTAAAATCCTATTTGTTTAGCAAATACTGTAAGTATTCTCAAAAAAATTAAATTAAAATTAAAGTCCGCCCTCAAGTTATCCAGATAAGTGGAGATGTAGATACTAGAAATAGTCATTGTACTTAAATCCATGATACAATAGAAGTACAAGAGATTGCTACTTCTTAGTCTGGCATTTGGGATGGGATGGTTCTTCTTTGCATTCATTAGAGACTGTACCTCCCGACAGTATTCTTTAATTATTATGAGTCATTTTGATAGCTAAAAAAACTTCCTCCCATAAATGTCTATAGAGAGAGTTGGGACCACCCACTTTGAGAAGTAATGACTAGTCACAGCCACCTATGCTATCAAACCTTCTCATACCAATTATAGGAATGGAAACAGGAATCTACTTCAGTCTGTTTTCCTATATTGATGTGAAGATATACTGTTTAGGGATATCTTACTAAAAAGGCCAAAAATTCACTGTTAAGTTACATACATATATAATTCACTTTGAAACATTTTCATACAGACAATATGCTATTATGCATATATAAACCATTTACATTTAAAATCAGTTGTAGGTATAGTCACTGGCATTTATCTCGAATTTACACAGCGAAGATAGTCACGTATCCTTATCAGAGAGTCTTCAGGTAGCTACAAAGAGCATATCTGTTACCATTAACTCCGGCCAGCCCCTATCAGAGGTTTTGCTGATGAGCAGAGTGGCTTATAGGAGTGGTCAGCAGCTCAACTAGTGGCGATTAACATGGTGAATTGATCGAGATATTCCAGCGACACATTCTATCCTTGCAAAAGCAGGATGATCTCTGTAACAGGCGGACCTGTGCTAACCAGCACGTGCCTAAATAGGCACTGGGGAACTTTGAAAAAGGCAAAGATTTAGCTGTCCCACCACAACTTCCCAACTATGCTACAATGGGAAGGTGCCTCAAATCAAATACTACCACACATACGAACATTGATTAAACAATCATTCATCAGAAAGCAGGCATAAACAAGGGGAAAAAACCTACCCTGTCAGGTCATTATTTTCCAGGTCTCTCTTCTTTTATTTTCTCCAAGCAACTCTTTGCATGAACGTCTCCCTGGAGTCAAATATGACAACATTCCAAAGGTAGAATTCTATTACACTTTATAAGAGGCATCAGGGAGCCAGAAATCCTCTCAACCAAATAGCAACCCTGGCAGATTTAGGAATCAAGCTTCAGGTGCTAGACCCACAGGATTCTTACAACTAGCCATAGGACATTGGGGAATAGCCAATCCACAAATATTAAATACCTTTGATTATCAGTTCCAGTTTACCATGATAGCTAACTGTCTAATATTCAATGTGATTGTTAACGAAATATTATTGATAAAAATGACATTGAACTTCTGACATTTGGTCTTCTAACATAAAAGCACAAAATGCTGCTATAGACACCAATTGCTCTTAAAGGCACCTCCCATGAGATACATTAGCTGGTCACTTACAGAATATGGGAGAGGACAGCTGACTACACCTACCGATGAAGTAAAACTAGATGGCATATATTGATGGCACAGCTGCCTGCATTCAACTATCTTAAAGTAAACTATTGACATTACAGAAATCCCCTGGCATTTAGGTGGTATAGTCCCTGGAGCCAGTTAGGAGACTTGTCTCAAATAAACTTAAAAATGATAATTTAGAATATTTTTATGTATATCTTGAATGGATCCTTCATGTAAACCGTGGTTCAATATCAAACATCAGAAGCTACAAATCTCATGAATGTGACTGATTAGTTCGTAGGTCTTTTCATGCCTACTTGTTAACAGGCGATTGTGGCAGAATTCAGTCTAGGTGTTGATTATAACCTGGATTTAAGGTTGCACAGAGCCAGTTAGTTAGTTAGCTTAGTTGTTGGCATCAACTGTTCCATAACTTAAAAACATGGCATACATGTGTAAAAAATAGCCTACGTGTGCTTAAAGCATTTCACAAAATACATCTATCATGAAAGAATGAAGTGTTTATTTCTGATATAAATGAAAAAACGAAGAATATGAAAAAAGTGATAGCTTGAACTTAAAGACATCTGATTAACTGAAGTAGTGAAAATATTATTTTAGGACTGTTTGTATCCCATTTCCAAATTGGCCAAAAAGAACAGTTTGGAAGTAAAGTAAATGCAATGCCTTCTGTATTCTTTACATATGCAGCGATCCATGTTGTGGTTGCCTGTTCATTAATTGCTTCAAATGCTAAAAATATGAAAATTATCCTAGACTCTATATAAAAGTTATCTAGACTCTAGAAACCATTTCTTGAAGCAGGAGAGTCCTGGGAGGTTATTCGGTGAAGTCAGTAGAAAAGTTATCATTTATTTTCCAATTTCTAGGTGGTATGTGTTCTCACAAGAGAGAGACAAACAGAGGGGGAGAGAGGAAGCACCTTCGGGTGGGGTGCAGTCGTGCTGCAATTCCTTCTTTATTTCTCCATTCTGTTAGGATTTGGAGCATGCACGTTTATGTGGCTGGCAGGATTTTCATACTGTTAGCTTAGGTTTCAAACTGCATTCAATCATGTGGAGTATGGCTCCCTTAACCACTAAGCTATGGATCCAGCCCAGTAAAATTTATTATATTAATTTTTTTTAAGGTTTTTGCCATAGGGCATGTGTGCTTGCCAAAGAAAGAGAGACGGTGAGAAGGAAAATGAGAAATCATCCCCCAGGGACGATGGCACTGCCACAATCCCTTCCCCTTCACTTGCCTCCTGTGATTTGGGGCACACATGCACATGCACCCCCATAATTTTGAAGCCTCCAGGTCTGGGACTCAAACCGTGGTCAGCTATGAGGGAGTCTAGAGCCATAACCACTATGACACCTGCTGGCTCCCCATTATAATTATTTTAAAAGGACCAAATAGAATTCCTGTATCTCTATTCACATTATATTTTAAGAAAAATATGTTCTTTGTAAAGGGATTGAGATATGGAAAGCATAAATACCAAAATTTATTAAATGAAGAAGTAGAGAAGCAAAGAACTAAATAACCCACTGGAATTTCCTGGAAATAATATTTAACATTTCATTTTAACTTGTTTATGCTTTGGTGGTATACTCACAAAATTTTGGGTCAATTAAATTTGTTTTCTAACATGGCTACTTGTTTATTTTGTGCCTTTGCACAGGAGTAGTTCATAAAGAGAGCCTCGAGGACTCTTAGGTATATCTTCTACAAGTTAGAGTCAGTTGTTTAAGTCTCAAAACTAGTTATGAAATTTTTATTTCCCAAGTTTCCATAAATATTGGATCAATTGATCAATAAGTGTAGAAAATGAATCATTAATGTGAAAATGTAAATTTAATTCTCTGAAAGTTTCAGGGAAAAAGTGAATTGCTAAAAGGATTTTTAGGTTATAATTTGTCACAACTCCATATTTTAGATTACTTTTGTGATTAATCCATCAAATTTGTATCCCAATCAGTTTGATTTAGAACTTTCATCCTATTAAGTTTATTTAATTTATTTATTTGGGAAAGAGGTACCCTCCAAATGACCCCACCATGCTGTGATCCTTCCCCCACCTCCTAGACAGCCAACACCATGAGCACACACAGGCAAGGCAGGCACATCCAACTTGCCTGGGGATCTGAACCCAGGCCTCCCATATGGAGCCATCATCATACAGTGGCGCTCTACCACCTGTGTTCCTACTGCTAGGCAAGAACTCTGTGGTACTACTGCGATGAAAAAAGACTTCCTGCTTGTTGTTCAACTTATTTCCACTCAGTGAAACAAGCAAACAAACAAATAATTTATATCAGTTTACCTTTCCCAGTTTAATTTATTCTTTAATTTTTTTTAAATCAGCCTCAGCATTTAAACCAATACTCTGCAGAAACAGAGTAACCAGTGACAATTTTTAAAATACTAACATGAAATTTTCCTGAAATTTACATTGTTAAAACCAGGTGTCTTATTCTGTGTGTGCTGTTATAACAAAGTATCTGAGACAGAGTAATTTATAAGCAATATAAATTTATTTCTCACAATTCTGGAGTCTTGGAAGTCCAAGATCAAGATGCAAAGATTTGTTGTTTGGAGAACACACAGTTTTCTACTGCCAAGATGGTGCCTTGTTGTTGATTTCTCTAGTTAGAACCAATGTTTTACTCCTCACATGTTGGAAATGATGGAAAGGGTAGATCCCTCTCTCAGATTCTTTTGTTTTAAAGAGGTTTTCACCTTAAGGTACATGCGCTTGCCAGAGAGAGAGAGAGACAAATTGAGACATCCCCAGGGGGGGATAGCCACACCACACAGCACAATCCCTTCTCTTCTTGGGATTTTGAGCACACACTCTCTCTCACACACACACACGCAGACACACACATGCCCTATGTGATTTTCAAGCCACTGGGTCCAGGACTCAAATCGTGGTCAGCTGTGGGAGTCCAGCAACATAACTACTATACCATCTGATGGCCTCTCAAATGTTTTTATAACATTTCCGATTCCATCTATGAAGGCTACATACCCTAACTTTATCACCTCCTGAAGATCTCATTTCTTATTTCACCATATGGATTTGGAGGACATATTCAGGCCACTGCATGTCAGATATATTCTTAATCTCTCACCTAATCTACCACATGAGATATTATCATATAACCACCAATATTAATGGGAATTCTAATTATTCATTCCCATTTGGGTTACATTTTATTCTTCCCATAGCAGTAGCTCCAAATTTTACTAGAATCTCAATAATATCACTCTTCCTACTTTCTTGATGCAAACTTGGCCTGATTTCCACATCAAATCTTTATTTTGTGTGTGCATGTTCTTGGCCTTTATCTCCCTACTCCCTTGGTTATTTTGCCTCTTTGAGAACTTTAGTCCATTAACAGTCCTCTTTCTTATGCTTTCAATCAGTCTTTCTATTATGATGCCTTCTTCTGCTCCCATAAACAAGTTCTCATCTCTCTATTGAGTAAACACTTTGTAAATCCAATCTTATAAAAAATCTACACTATTTCTTTTATTCATTCCCAGGCTTTGGAAGAGCCCTCTATACCAATTGATCTCTATTCTTTGTGTCTTCTTGACTCTTCCAATTCTAATCAAAATTTTCACCAAAGTTCTTCCAATTAGATTGTTGTCATGCTCTTTATCTTAATATAAAAATCGCTTTCACCTTCCTATACTGATCACCATCATCTTGAAATTTTCATCTTCCTTCATCTTCTTTTGCACTATTTTCCTAAATTCATCTATGACTCTAGTTTTGTTCTGTTTTTACAATTTTATTCCAAATTTGCTCATCATTTTTCCCCTTAAATCTGTGTTCTCAAATGCTTTCACTTCTAATCCAGTTCTCAGTGCTTTATTTTTCCTTTCTTTTTGAACCAAGAATGCATCAATTATTGGGTCATCAGAAAAGTCATGACACATTTTTTGCATAGAAAAACAGAAAAAAATACATTATGACTTTTCTAACGACCCAATAACATGATTTTAACTATTAATACTATAACTTTTAAAGTTATATTTTCTGCTGCAGGTTCTTCTCAAATCCAGATCAGCATTTTCCCAACACCAAGCCTTTAAAACTCAAATAAAAAGAGCAAAATACATTATTCCTTAACTGTACCTATTTTAAATGTCAGCCTTGCTCAGTAGCTGTTAGGAAGCCAATTTCCAATCTATAGAAGAAGTCAAAATATCACTATAAATATTACAAAATGGAGAAAGTTATTTTTCTAGAATTCTATATGATTTGCGATATTTCATAAGACATTTGGGGGTTGAGATAAGATTGCCCTAAAAAATACACAATACCATAGTAACTGATATTTATGAAACTTTCTGAGTAGTTGAATCCAGGGAACTACAAGTTTCATTTTACTTATTAGGATGTGCAAGCTAATATAGTAAAAGGAATCTTCCCTCTTTGCTCTGCTCCACAATTGTATTCAAGGTCTTCTATAATTAAAACACGAAAAAAAATTAAGCAGCCCCAGTGACACAGACATAACACATCATTCTCTGATGTTGGACTCACACAGCTTTGTGTCCTGACATCTCTCTGTACGTGCCAGTCGTGCAT